AGACGGCCCAACAGGCCTTCAAGACGCCCCAAGAGGTCCCTAAGCGGCGCCCCAAGAGGGCTCCCACTCGCAAAAATCGTACCATTCCCTTAGGAAAACGTGCATTTTTAACATATCCGCCTCTTCGTCTTTCACGCCTTTCAAGGCGGTCCAAGAGGCCCCCAAGATCACACCCCAAGACGGCCCGAGAGATCCTCAAGACCGCTCAAAGACGGCCCAACAGCGCCCCAAGAAGGCCCAAGAAACCCTCAAGACGGTCAAAGAGGCCCCAAGACGGCCCCATGATTGAGGTCCACAGGGGCAACCTGAACGGAAATTTCGAGCCCCCCGCCCAAACACGCCCCCGAAATGCCCCCACAAGCCCCCAAGTAGCCCCACGAAGCCCCCAAGAGAGCCCCAAGAAGCCCCCCACAAGCCGCAAGAAAGCCCCAAGAGGCCCCCAAGAGACCCCCAGGAAGCTCCCAGGAGGCCCCCAAGAGGCCAGGCAGACCCCCCCAAGATACCACCAAGAGGGCCCGCCCAGAGCCATCCACGAGGCCTCCCAAAGTTCCCAAGAAGCTCCCACGAAGCTTCCAAAGGCCCCCCAAACCCCCCAAGACCCCGCGATGGCACAATACGGGCCGGCGGAATGAGCGAAGCGATACAATAAACCTTCAATCTGCATCGCCTTCAAAATATTCGAATGGATTCGCCACCAGACCCAAACTTCTGGCGAATCCCTAAACTCTACGACAGAACCCACGAGGGTCTCGGCTCGATCCAAACCGGAAGGAGGACGCAGAACGAACGGGCCGAGGATTTTGTCCGTAGAGATATCGATTCTGCTTCGACTTGCCAACTAAGAGCCTTCTTCTATAAATTCCTAAAGATTCGCTAGACCCACCGCCACGCGTTACGAACACACCCGTCAACTAGGCGCACCACCACTCCCGCGTTCCATAGCTCATAGAGAGGTCCAGCGAGAAAGGTCACCATTCCGCATGCTATCGCGCCCAACTAATTCGGCACTACTAGGCGCGCGCGAACGGGAGCGGGCACTGGACAAACCCAGGGCCCCTGCCAGGCCGGCCCGGCCGGCCGGCCAGGCCAGGCTCCAGGAGCGGGAGCGGAGATCTGGACAAGCCTCAGGGCCCCGGCCAGGCCGGCCGGCCGGCTGGGCTGGGCGCCGAGCGCCAGGGCCGGCCTGGCCGGCCCGGCGCTGCTAAGTGCGGGGTCCCTATGGGTCCATTTGGAATCCTAGAGGCGTCGCTGGAGATTCATGAACTTCCTAGCGACGCTTCAAAGAAATAAACCTTCAATCTGCAACGCCTTCAAAATTTTCGAATGGATTCGCCACCAGGCCCGAACTTCTGGCGAATCTCTAATCTCTAAGACAGAATCCACGAGGGCTTCGGCTCGATCCAGACCGGAAGGAGGACGCATAACGATGGCGGACAAAATTTTTGAACATAGAGATATCGATAGTTGCTTCGACCAACTAACTGAGAACCTTCTCGTGGATTCCTAGAGATTCGCCGGGGCCACCGCCGCGCGTCACGGGCACACCCAACAATTAGGCACACCACCCCCACACGTTTCATACCTCACAGAGAGCCCCACCGAAGAAGGTCGCCATTTCACCGCCCGCATGCTGTCGCGCACGCCCAACAGATTCGGCGCGCCCCCCATAACGCTTCGAAGGCCGATTTATGGCCGCCGCCAGCATGCGCCACGCGCGCCAATTCGGCACACCACCCACGCGTTTCGAGGCCCCAGTGGGAGCTCCACCGAAGGCCCCGCGCCGCCGCCCGCGCGACGGAGACGGAGGACCTGAGCACGGAGCGGCGGACAACGAACGGACCAAGTTTAAGTTCTCGAGATCTGCGCATGGAATCTGGATATCGAACGCGCGGGGTGGTCGCCCCACGCCACCTCCGACCAGGGATTTTTCGGCTCGAGCCCGCCCGTCGGTCTTCTCCTAGCGTCGCCCAGTTCGGCCGCCGCGATGGGCAGAAACCGAGGCGCCGATCTTGGGGCGCGGGCGAGGGGTCTCGGAGGCGGGGCTCTCCCGAAGGATCCTCGAGGCTCGCGCTGGAGAAGCGAGGGCAAATAAATCCTCGAGGGTCCCGCGCTGCAGGGGCGGGGACAACGAATCCTCGAGACACTCGCCGCGTCGGCGAGTCGGGGGGAAACGAACGGCGGCGGAATCTCTGGTTAGTCAGCCTGCATCCTGTCGCCGCGCGCACGACCTCTGGGCGGCCCCGGGGCGCATGCGAGGTTTCGGCCCGCGCGATGCGATGGCGCGACGCTTGGGGAACGACGAGGGCGCTGATTTTAGTCGACAGCGGGGGGCTGGCGAAGGCGCAAATAATCGACTTGTGCGGCAGAGGGCGATGGAAACCAAGCGCGTCTAAAACTCCGGGTCGGACTTTACACGCTGGATGGAGCTCAGACGGGACGTGCCCGGCGCTAAGTTTAAGCTCTGAAAGGCAAGTTCATTTTGGAGTTGGATGGCAGGGCG